GGGATAGGAAGAAGAGATGGGGGAGAGGAGGGATGAGGCTGACACCGCAGGTGAAGGTGTACTCTTGGGGTTTCAATAGAACAGAGGAGAATCTGCACATCAATGACAATAACACTGGAAACCTTGCTTTAACAATCCTCCAGGAAGGCCTCAAAGTAACCCACCAACCCCACGTGTAAAGCTGGGTTTCTGAGCTGCCTGAAGACAGTATTTCCTTAATTTAAATGTTCTTCCTGAAATAAACATCAGCACTGCCATCCTCTTTGTTAATGGTACCAACGATCCTTTGGTCTGGAGTCTCCCTTTTCTGGGTTGGCAGAGTCTGAACTGAGGACCACAAAGAAAGGGTGTGCGCATTGTGGGCCTTCTTAGCTGCGGCACAACGGAGGGGCCGAGTGGACACCAAAGCCCTGGCCACAGCCTCTGCCCTTGTACATGTCACGAGGCTCTCGGGGGCAAAATCTAGTGCCAGGAAAAACAGGGCAAGGATGGCCAAAGGAAAGGGTTTGGGGTGCTCAGGCGGCTCCTACCACCTATGGAAAACCAAGCTGGAGAGGCTGTAACAAACCAGAAGACAAATAGGAGCTCATGAAAAGGTAGAGTCTAGCTCAGATTTGCTGCTGGAAGGGGATGCTTTCCCCTCCAAGAACGGCATCCTCCGCATCACAGCTCTTATTGTTCTGGAATGCAGATTGGATGGAATGCAGTCACATCTCTGCTCCCTAGACCTTGCAGCTGTCAGGAGCCCAGGAAGATGAAGATGGCCCAGCACTGGGCCATGCTCCTTTAGCCTGCTTAGTAAGACAGAGGTCCATTTCTACTTACGTCTCTGCGTTTAGGGATTGCTTCCTGGCTCCCTACGCTGACCTCCAGGTTCCCCCTTCAGTGAAGCTTTTGTAGAGACCCAAGGTCCTCAGGGTCTCTGGCCACATCACAGATACCACTTGCCAGCACTTCTAAACTAGAGGGTAGCCATAGCATCTCCCCTTAGCCTGCTAAAACAATGCCCTCCCTTCTACCCATCCTTCACCCAGTGAGAGCCAATGCCCAGAGCTTCCCATCATTCCTTGCTGCTTGCACTGGGCAGCTCAAACCCTTCAGCCTGGTGGTCAATGCCTGGCCTCTCCTCTTAGAGCTCAATCCCAGCCAGTGAGGCTGGCTCTGGTTCTTCCCCAGTGTTGACAGCCCCAGCCTGACCACGGCCCAGGGCCATCCCCACCCAGCTCCAGCAAGGCCAGCCTGAAGGAGCTATTTCCTTTCAGCTGGAACCTATATTGTCCCGCTCATCATTTGTTACTAAGAACAGCAACAGAGAATGGGCAAATTTCCCTGAGTTTTGTATTCTAACAAGTGGGCTAGGAAGTCCCACAGTGTGTGTGTGTGTGTGTGTGTGTGTGTGTGTGTGTGTGTGTGTGTGTGTGTGTG